TATATATATATATATATATATATATATATATATACACACACACACACACACACACACACACACACACACATATACATATATATACTAGTCGTAAACACTGTGCAAAGCACGACTTATAAAATTTTCCCGCTACAGTAATCCCGATTTTTAAATACTACAGTAATATTTTTAGAATTTTTTGGGATGCTACATTTCCCGCCTCTGCTACAGATTTTTAAAAATGCTATAGTTTTTCTGTGTGCCACTGATATTTTTTTCAAAAGTTGCTACAGTGTCCCGTATGCTACGTAATAATGCTACAATAATGTTACTATAGCATAAATAATGAATCTTGGGTTCTCCTATTTGTATAAAGGAATAGATATCTACTACTACATACAAATGAGAGAACCTAAGATTTACTATTCACGCTACAGCAATTTTTAGTAGCATTTACTGTAGCCTTGTTACTGTAGGGTTCCACAACTTGAAGAGGACAGTAATTTTTGAACTACGCCTACTTAATTGCTATGGAATCGAAAAAGAGAAATAAACAAAAATCTGGGGTAGTACGTGAAATTACAAATTTTGAAATTACGTTTATCGCCATTAGGTGGAAAGAGATGAAAATTTACAAAAATCTTGGGTTAGCCCATGAAAATTGCGAATTTTGAAGTACTAAAACTTAATTACTATTGGATCAAAATAAATAAAATGGAAAAAAGTCTTCAGTTAAAGTCGATATCACAAATTTTGAAGGACCCATATAAATTTGGTCACAACCAACAACATGAACAAAAAATGTTGGTTATAATATATAAAATCGCTTATTCTGAAATAAGTGTGCTTAATTGCCATTGGGTGGAAACGAAGAAAATTTACAAAAAATCGTGTGTTATAGTCTATGAATGTTGCATATTTTAATGTATCTATACTTTCATTATTGGGTCTTAATGAAAGAAAATGGATAAAAGTTGCGGGTTATAGTCTGTGAGCATATCGTGAATTTTGGAGTATGAATAATTAATTGCTATTGAGTTGAGATGAATGAAAATAAACAAGAATAGTTGGTTATAGCCCTTGAAATCGTAAATTTTGAATGTGTGTACTTAATTGTTATTGGGTCGAAACAAACGAAAATGAACAAAACTGTGGTTTAACCTATGACGATCACAATATTAAAGTCTGTGAGCATATCGTGAATTTTGTTGTATGAATAATTAATTGCTATTGAGTTGAGATGAATGAAAATAAACAAGAATAGTTGGTTATAGCCCTTGAAATCGTAAATTTTGAATGTGTGTACTTAATTGTTATTGGGTCGAAACAAACGAAAATGAACAAAACTGTGGTTTAACCTATGACGATCACAATATTAAAGTGCGCATGAGTAGTTGCCATTGATTCAAATGAATGAAAATGGAAAAAGTTGTAGCTTATAATCCATAAAAATTATGAATTTTGAGCTACACAAACTTAACTACTATTGAGTCGAATCGAATGAAAATGAACAAAAGTCGTGGGTTATAGTTTATGAAATAAAGAATTTTGAAATATGTGCACTACTGCACTAATTGTCGTTGGTTGGAAATGAGTGAAAATTTAAAATTTACATCAATCTTTGGATTATAGCCTATGAAAACAACAATTTTGAAGTAAAAATCTTAATTACCCTTGGTTCGAAATAAATAAAAATGAACAAAAGTCGTGGGTTATAGCCTATGGAAAAACATGAATTTTGAAGTAAAGATATGTATGGAAAAACATGAATTTTGAAGTAAAGATATGTAACCGCACGGGTTGAAACAAACAAAAGATGAACAAAAAATTTTGGATTATTGCGAATGAAAATTGCCAATTTTGAACTGGCTACTTAATTGCTTTTCAACATAACAAACGAAAATGAAAAAAATATGGGTTATCGCTCATTAAAATATGAAAATTTAAAGCACATATACTTAATTGCGATTGGGTCAACAAAAATGAACAAATGTCATGGATTAGCCCATGAAAATTAGAATTTTGAAGTATGCATAATTAACTGACATTTAGTCAAAAGAAACGAATGAAAAAGGAAGACCAATGAAAAATCACGAGTTTTAAACCCTGCTGACTTAATTGGCATCAGGTCGAAACGAATAGAAATAAAAAGAATTGTGAGTAATGTAAATCTCGAATTTTAAAATAACTGTAGCCATTGGGTGGAAATGAACGGAAATTTACAAATATGTGGATTATAGCTAAGGAAAATCGTGAATTTTATAGTACATAAACTTAATTGTTATTAGATTCAAACAAATGAAAATGGACTAAATCGTGGGTAAGCCCATGAAAATTATGAATATTGAAGTACTACTTAATTGTCAGTATTTGTAACCAAAGAAAATGGATAAAATTTATAGGCTATATTTTAAAATATGCATAATTAATTGTCATTATACCAAAACAAACAAAACAAAAAGAGTGGGTTATAGGTTATGAAAAACGTGAAGTTTGAAGTATGCATAATTAATTGCCATTAGGTCGAAATGAATGAAAATAAACAAAAATCAATGTTATAGTATATTAAATTACAAATTTGGAATATGCTACTTTAATTGCTTTTGGGCTGAAATGGAAGAAAATTATGAGTTAGAGCCCATTAAAATCATGACTTTTGAAGTACCTATACTTATTTGATATTGGGTCCAAAAAAAGTGGATAAAAATTGTAGATTATGTAACTCATGAATGATGAAATACCAGATTTTAAGGCACGCGTTATTGATTGTTATTGTGTTGAAATGAACAAAAATGAGTAAAAGTTGTGTTATAGCCCATGAAAGTCGTGGATATTGTAATATGTGTACTTAATTGCCATTGAATCATAAGAAACAAAAAATGTCAAAAATCATTGGTTAGCGCGTATGATAATTGTGAATTTTGAAGAACCAATACTTAATTGCAATTGGGCCAAAATAAAAAAAAGAATAAAAACTGTGGTTCTAAAATATGCGTACTTAATTATCATTTGGTCAAAACGAATGAAAATTGACAATAGTTCTGTGTTATATATCCCATGAAAATTACAAAATTTGAAGTATGCGGACTTTAACGGATTGAGTTGAAAAAAAATGAAAATGTACAAAATTTATTGGTTATGATTCATGAAAGTCACGAAATTTTGAAGTACACATACTTAATTGCCTTTGGGTTGAAATAGAATGAAACTAGACAAAAATTGTGGTTAGAACCCATGAAAATCACTAATTTTAAGTATGTATAATTAATTGTTATTAGGTCAAAATTAGAAAATGAACAAAAATTATGGTTATAACCCATGGAAATCGTAAATTTTGAAGTAGTTATAATTAATTGCTATTGGGCCGAAACAAACGAAAATGGATAAGTAAGTGGGTTGTAGGCTATAAATCGCAAAATTTGAAATACGTATACTTAATTGCCATTGGTATGAAACAAATGAAAATTTGCAAAAATCGTAGGTTATGCTCATGAAATTTGCAAAGTTTGAAGGGCACAAATTTTTAAAAAAGACCGTTTAAAAAATAGCAAAATCAATCTCTTTTTGGCCACATCATCACGGAAGAGGTTGATTTTGCAAAATATGATCTTTAAAATACACGGGATAGTAGCCTCGTGTATTTAGAGGTCATTAATTAGGAATTAAACTCATTCTTTTAATATACACAGAGCTACTAACGTGTGATTAGTGACCGTTAAATACATGGGACTACTAGTACCGTGTATTTTAAAGATTATAATTTGTAAAACTGACCTCTTTTTGGCCAGTTGTGGTGGCGTGGCTAAAAAGACGTCAATTTTACTGATTAATTCACAAAAGGTTGATTTTGTTAATAATTTAAAAAAACGGTATTTTTTTAAAAATTTCTCCAATTGTTATTGGATCTAAATGAACAATAATAAACAAAACTTGTAGGTCGTAGTCCAAGGAAAATCAACAATTTTGGAGGTCGCATAAGATTATTTATGCGTACAATTTTGTAAAACTTTGGGGCTTTTATGTGTCGTGGTCTTATTGTGCGGCTCACAACCGGCTGATGAAGAAATCTAGCGCTAAGCTATAATTTTAGTTTTGTGTCTAATTTGAATATACTATTAGCTATTATTATAATTTAATGGATTAAAATATAATTTTAAGAGTTTTGTGTATTAATGTAAACAATATCCGAAGTGTAGATATTATCAAGTGGCAATGTTGTCGGGATTTGACGGAATGGAGCATGTGGTTAAGTGGCGCAACCGAGCGCATGAGCGCAACAGCTGGCAATGCAGTAAAGACGTGTTGAGTGGAGCGCATGCGACCAATTAGCAAGTATGGCTTGTTGTCAGGGCATGATCAAGGAGAGCTTATATGGCTAAGGGGTGTATTGTGAGTGCGCATAGCGATGGCGTGGCCCGATCATGGTGCGGGTGTAGTTTGCATGGCCTGGTCATGGTGTAGACGTAGCTTGTGCACAGCCTGAGTGTGGTGTGCATGTCTGTTTTGTGCATGAGGGCATGCGAGCACAGCTCGATCAGGCTTGATAAGGTGCACACTTGTTCGTGTGGACACGCAGCTGTTGCTCGATCATGATTCAATAGGTTGCTCATTTTTGCACTTGGCGTGTGAGGATGGCTCTATCACGACCAGATAGGTTGTCGTTGGTACACAACAGGTTGAACATTTTCTGATGTCTACAATGTCTCGACCATGCTCAAGGGATTAGAAGAGTTGGGTCTGGGTTAATGTTTGAAGTAAAACTGTGAAATAGATCTAACAAACTGAACCAATTTGAAGTCATGAATGCGAGTTCTTTATTTGGGTTTGGAGGTTTCCAGTACCCTAGCTCGATGTCTTCAGTAAGAGCAGGAGTGGTACAGGTTATCTGCAGTAGGTGAAGGTTGCATGGACGTTGCGAAAATTGCTAAGCTTTTGCAAGTTAGTTTTGGCACTTCTGGATGCTGGCCTTACTATTATGTCATAGAGGAATTTTTTTTGAAAACCTTTGGTGACTCCAAATTTACAGGCATGGGCATAGATTTTAGAAGTAAGATGGTATCATTATCACCCATTTTTTGAAGGCAACGAGCGTGCCTTGATGCATTAACTTGGTATTGTGTTGAAGAATCGAGGAGGTTGACTCTGCAAGAGTTGCAGGTTGTTAGGTAACGCATTATGAAGTTATTCATTATGGTGATCATCCACCCATCTATTTACTGACTAGTGACTACCAAAATGTCAATTGTAAAGACATGACATTCACAATACTTTACAGCAAACATCCTAACCTGGTGATTGGCAATATCGAGCCCTGTGTTCTAAACTAAGCCGACCCTCAAAGGCTTTGTTGCGTGTGTTATCTTCTTTGACCACTACAACCTTTATCTGGCATCAAGCTTTAAACTTTACTATAACAGACTGAAAATCATAATGAGCGAGCACATAGATTGTAATTTCAGGTCGTTCAAAACATTGACATTCGTACTTATTTTTTGTTGTTGTCGCTTCTTTAGATTTGATCATAGTCATATTATGTCCTGAATGAGCATCTACTGATTCTTATTTCTCCCTGTTTCTTTACACAGAAGCGTAGGTGGGAGAAGAAAATGAAAGCTGAGGAGGCAAAAGATTGAACCAAGGACTGCAGAGAATGGCTCCTTTATTATGATCTGCTTTCATTCGTTGCTGAATTATTTCAGCTGTTTTCTTGTATTGGAATTTTGTTGTTTTATGCAAAACAGTTTTTGTTCCATTTTACTCTGTCAATATGGCTAATATCAGTTTGAACATGACAGTCTCACCTCTCAGTTTACATAAACACGAAAGAGTTACATCTTCTTGTTGAATATATTATGTTCAGTCATCTTTACTTAAAAATAATTGGAACCGTGTCATCATGATTAATACTTTGCTACTAATACAATACTAGCACTATTGCACGTGCACTGGAAATTAAAACTTAAAACATTCTGATTTTTATATAAAATGGTCACTTCTCTAAGGGATCATCAATTTTTTGCAGGAGTCTTCTATGATGTTTGTTTATTTAATAAGCTATATTTTATTTATCTTATTCGGAATATAGGGGAAATATTTCAGTTCGAGCGAAGACATGATTTTCTTAGATAATATTTTTTAGAAGAGTCTATTTTTCATATTTCATTTAAGTTATTATTTTAATTATTTTTAACCCAAGTATCTAGATATACACTCTTGATAATATTTATATTGAAACATATTGAAATTCTAATGGTTATTTTTATTGTATTTATTTAAGTGCATTTTTTGAAAAAAAACTTTATCATTTCATATTTATATCTATTATGATATGCATGGTAATGGTTATGTCATTAATTAGCTTTAAAAATAAGATCATGTCAACAATTTAGAAAGTTCTAGAAAAAAGAAAGAGAAAAGGAGAAAAAAATGTTCTCCTAGAAATTACAATCCTATCCTTTCAAATACAATAAGAATGGAGAGAAAAGGAAAAAAAAGAAAAAATGTTCTCCTAGAAATTACATTTCTATCCTTTCAAATACAATAAGAATGGAAGAAATGTCCACCTCATCCAATTTTGACCTACCCTCACTATTTCCATTATTATATAGCAGTGTAGGTATATTGTTTTGCACGTTAGCTTATAATATATTATTATATTTTGGGTCCCTGTAGCAGCGCTTTTTTGTTAAGAAAAATGCCTTAAGGAGCCAAAATATGGGACGAAATGAAGAGACAGTAGGTATATTGTTTTGCGCGTTAGCTTATGATATATTATTATATTTTGGGTCCCTGTAGCAGCGTTTTTTGTTAAGAAAAATGCCTTAAGGCCCAAAATATGGGACCAAATGAAGAGACATGTGAGGTGTCCCCTCCCTATTGTATAATGAGCTGGTGATGCTAGCTCATTATGCAACAGGGAGGGGACACCTCACCTGTCCCCTCCATTGGTCCCATATTTTGGGTTCCTGTAGCAACGCTCTTCTGTTAAACAACACATGCTCTTTTGTTCTGATTAGACTGATAATATTATTTCACTAGAGTACTTTGTTGCCTTTTTGTTAACGTATCATACAAGACCTCTTCACTAACATTCCATCTCACCTTTTCTTTCCATGCGTTTCTCGAATTTGGCAGCGTTTTTGAAGAAGAGAAAGAGCTCTGCGGGGCTTTAGTTTTCAATGGACGTATTTATCTTGAAACAATAGTTGTTAAAATTGAAGTTGCTTGGTTCTATTATAAAAAAAAGAAGAGTTGCATCATATTAGCTATTAATAGTATGCAATACGTGTGTTGTGCGCAGCGGAAATTTCGGCAACATCTCCGGTGCGCAAGGTGCACAACAAGAGATTAGATCACAACGAAATTCCTGTTTCACAAAGAAAACAAGAAACGAAAACAAAATATCTCAACAAAGTGAGATATCAGCTCTTCCTCTCATCAGTTCTAGGACTGACTTGTCGAGGGAACCTACATATTACAAATCACAGCAAGACAAACTATTTTATGTGGTTCGGCAAATCGCCTACGTCCACGGGGCAAGGAGGAAGGAGATCTACTATTAGAGAGGGAGAATACAAATAGGGTTTACAATCACACAAGATCTCACAAATAAAACCCTCAAAATAATCTCTCAAACCTCTCACAATTTCTCTCTCAAAGGGATGCACAAAACCCTCAAAAGGGACTGCACAAAATCACGTCGGTCTGCCTTCTGCTCTTGCGCCGAAAAAAATCTTCTCTGCCGATGAAACTCAGCCGAAAAATAAACTCCTTGCACACAAAAAAAACTCCGAAAAAACCTAGCAGGCTTATTTATATGTTGCAGTTGTGGTTCGGGCCTTTTCCGCACCTCGCCTTCTTTTCCGCACGTGGTTATGGTGGACCCCACGTCATTCACAATTCTCCACCTCGGCAAAGTTTTCCCAAAACTGAGCCGACACCAAAGCATCCAAATGTCCCACTTGTTGTGTCCAGTACGCCGTGAAGTTAATTCACGACAACGGACTCAATCCACAACAAGTCGGGAACCCGAACAAGAGTCCAAACAATCTCACCCCCATCAAAACAACAAATCCAACCGGCTACATCATAAAGACTGCCTACGTATCCTCTTGCCCAAGGAATCAAGCCTCACGTAGTTCACCCAAATGGCCTCCAAACGTATCCTCTTGCCCAAGGAATCAAGCCTCACGTAGTTCACCCAAATGGCCTCCAAAGGCCTCAACATCGAAGAATGTTCAAAAGTTCCAAACAATGACCAAACTTGACACCTGAAACAACTTTGGTCAACATATCTAAAGGATTGTCCTTCGTGTGGACCTTCTCCAATATGACGTCTCCATTATCCAAAACGTCACGAACAAAGTGGAATCTGACATCAATATGTTTCGTGCGTGCATGGTAAACCTGGTTCTTTGCCAAATAGATAGCCGACATGCTATTATAATGTACCCGAATGGTCTCCTGTGCAATCCCCAAGTCCTCCAACAATCCACGCAACTATAAAGCCTCCTTCAAAGATTCAGTCAACATCATATACTCTACCTCCGTAGTGGAGAGAGCCACTGTAGACTAAAGTGTGCATCTCCAACACATCGGTGCTCCTGCTAGTGTAAACACATATCCGCTAGTAGACCAGTGATTGTCCAGATCTCCCGCATAATCAGAATCCACGTAACCAATACAATCCTACCCGTTCTTCCCATTCTTCTTGAACACCAAACCAACATCCACGGTACCTTTAATATATCGTAGAATCCACTTCACGGCCTCCCAATCCCGGGGTCGTGCATGTACCTAGATACCATGCTCACGACTTATGACAAATCTGACCTCGTACACATCATCACATACATCAAGCTACCTCCTACACCGACATATGGGACTTTCGACATATAATCTCTGTCCTCAACTGAAACATGCGACATACTAGCTAAAAGCTTGAAGTGGGGAGACAATAGAGTGTTAATTGTTTTTGCATTACCATCAAAGCTGAATTTCTTCAACATCTTCTGCAAGTAACTCCTCTGTGTCAACTTCAACCTCCCCTTCACCATGTCTCTCTCAATCTCCATACCCAATATCTTCTTTGCTTCTCCAAGGTCTTTCATCTCAAATTCGGATGACAGCTCCTTTTTTAACTTTATAATAGCTGAAGTATTCCTGGAATCTATGAGCATATCGTCAACATATAACAGTAAATAAATATACTCACCATTCTGTAGCTTGTGCATGTAAACACAGGGGTCATATGGGCTCCTCGTGTACCCTCGGCCAATCATAAAACCGTCAAATCTCTTGTACCATTGTCGCGGTGATTGCTTCAATCCGTAAAGAGATTTCTTCAGCTTGCACACTAATTCCTTCTTTCCTACAGCTTTAAACCCCATAGGTTGTGTCATGTAGATCTTTTCTTCTTAATCTCCATGTAGAAAGGTTATTTTCACATCCATCTGGCCCAAATATAAATCCAGCTATGCCACCAATGCCAATAAAATACGAATCGATGAATGCTTCACAACAGGTGAAAATACCTCGTTGTAATCAACGCCCTCTAGCTGTGCATATCCCTTGGCAACCAATCTGGCTTTGAATCGAATTTCCTCAATAGAAGATCCCTCTTTCTTTGCATACACCCACTTGCATCCAATAGCCTTCTTACCCTTCGGTAGCTTTGCAAGTTCCCAAGTGTCATTCTTATGAAGAGACTGCATCTCCTCCTCTATGACTTCCCCCGACCTAATCGAATCAGAGCTTGACTCTGCTTCCTTGAATGTAGAAGGAACCAAATCATCAACGACTTCTGCTGATAAAGCATATGCAACCATGACATCGTCGTATTTAGCTGGCCGACGAATGTTTCTTCTTGGTCTATTAGCTGTAATGGACACCTGAACATGACCCTTTTCCTGAGTCCCAACATCCACTGTATCCTCTAAATGCCCGACTACCATCTCATCTCCTCCCAGTGTTACCTCTGTAGGAGCCTCAATGGATACAATGCTATCTAGAGTGGGTGGAGTCACATCATCCTCCACCTGCTGCGATATCCCATCCGTCTAGTCTTCTTCCCAAGTACACAATGCTCATACAGCTCCATCTTGCAGGTCTTAGCACCTTTTAATAGCCCCTGTTTTGCCAATAACCGCAGGGACTTATCTCCTGTGTGTCTTAGTCTCATGTGCCATAATATGGTAGTGTCCTCCTCTATAGTGATAGAAGCTACCAGACCCCCTGTAACTGTCTTGCCCTTCAAGTAGTATAGGAAGTTTTCCCTGACTCCTCGCATCACCACCATAGAACTCTTCGTGACCTTCGCTGTAGCATCCTCTGAGGTCACCCGATAACCAGCTGCCTCCAAAGTACCAAGAGAAATGATGTTCTTCATCAATTGCGGCACAAACCTCACTTCTTTCAATCCCCTCACCACTCCGTCATGCATCCTAATCCGGACTAAACTAATACCACCAATAGGGCATACGTGGTTATTTCCCATAAGCACGACATCCCCTCTTTCCAGCTCCTCAAAGCTAGAGAACCAATCCCTTCTAGGACATATGTGATATGTGGCTCCTGAATCCAACATCCACTCTATGGAGTCGGCATAGCAAACCGACGGTAGTGCATGGCATGAATAGCCCTAAATATCTGACTCTGAATGTTCATTAATAGCTTTTACAACATTAACTTCTGAAGCTTGTATAGCTTTCCCCTTGTTCTTTCCGGCTTTATCTTCCAATGTCCATCTTCTTTACAAAAGCGACATTGATTTCTACCAATATTCTTATGGCCACCTCTATT